ACGTCAAAATCACCCAAATACCCTTGGGGTTAACAGAATGTACAAAATTTTATCGAGGGCTTTGTTGAGGGGAATTATATAGGAATAAGGTATGGGGCAGGGAGTCCCTCCCCATCACTGTCCCTGCTCCACCCCATTCAAGAGAAGCCATTGCACCCACCTCCACATGGTTCATTTGCACCCACCTCCACATGGTTCATGCGCCACCCCCACCCCCGCGCGCGCAAATTTTCTTTTAGAGTAATATTCATATCATGATAGTATGTAAAACATTTGATTAATAATTATCAAAAAACAAATTAGGGATTTAGAATTATTTAGATGTACTTGATATATTTTAGTGATCCTTTTTTTTTTTTTTTTTTTCATAAATAAAGAGTATATTAGAGAGGGGAACACATCACGAAAAAAATACAAAGGTCGGACCTAGGGACCCAAAAAATCCATGATTTCATCCAAGGATATACAATTTTTCCCCATCACCCAACTAAAAATAGAACTAATAATATTAAAAGTACAGAATAATATTATATATTTATATACATTAACAAGGTTGAGGCAAGGTGGGGAACCCCTTTCCCAACCCTGCCTTTTTCTCTTGTGGTTTTTTTTCCTTTACCCCATCTCCAGCCCACCCAGTTTAAGCTGCTCCCCAAACCTGTCCAATTAGGGGCAGGGATCAATGGGAACAGGACAAATTGCCATCCCTAGAAATATTTGCTGAGGCGGTGTCAATGTACTGCCAGAATGGGAACATGGTTCTTCCGAACTCCTGCTACATGGCACCTAACTTAATCAATCAAGATTGAAAATACAATTGGAAGTGAATTTTTTATTGGTCTGAAAGGAAATTAAGAATACCAACAATTACTTTAATTAAAGCAAACTCTAGACAAATTTTAAGTCAGATTCCCTTAGGGGTAAGTGCAAAAAAACACCCCTGTATTTTCAAAATGTGCAAATAACACCTTTGTTGTTCAAACGCCACCCCTCTAGTTTCAAAAAGTTGCAAATAAGGGCTTCTGACCAACAAATTTGGCATGTGCCGTGCATGTGAGCAAAAGTTGGCCTTTAATACCAAAAATACCCTTTTGCACTACCCAAAATGCCCAAAGGGGGATATTTGCACACTTTTGAAAGTAAGGGGGGGTTTTTTGTAAGAACACATAATCAACACAATGAGAGAGAGTAACCGAGACTCTGAATTGACAAATTGTGTGAGAATTGAACAAGTAATCCATAATATACAATATATACACACACATATATCAATATCTGTATCCTCTCTTTCGCTCAACCCCATCCCCAATTCACCAAAACCAGATCCATTCAAAAAAAAAAAAAAAAATACATCCAATCTAATGAACCACATAATTCCCAAAATCACAAATAAGTGACGTTCCATGTGTAGAATCTGTATGGGTCTTCCCCATTGATGCAACTCACTAGCAAAAATAACATCACCGACACAGCCAACACACTCCTGTTACCTCCCATAACGTTTTCTCTCTCTAGCGCACACACAAATCACTGAAGAAATACAAAACAGAGCCTCTCTGAGTGCTCAAATGAATGACTGATAAAATGTTGTATGTGTTTCCAAAAGAATGATTGATAAAATGTGGTATGTTTGGGAAATAATGGAAACAACAAAAAAAAAAAAAGGTCCTGGTTGGCGTGAGCTGAAACAGAGCATGATCAAGACGAGTTCTTGGATCCATAATTTGAGAGAGAGAGAGAGAGATTCAAAATTCCATCTTGTCAGTTGCATACATTCTTATTGTCGATTTCTTTTGATCTTCAAAGTCTATTCAATTTTCTTCATCTGAATTACACACAGTCACACACACAAACATAGAGAGAGAGAGCTGGGGCACATGCGAGTGAGGTTGGGAGGGATTTGATTATTCAAATGTGGGTCCAATAAATAAGTGCCGACACCTCTGTGCTAATGAACCAAAGGTGTTTGATGAGTGCATACAACATATAAAGTATACACGCCAGTGAAGCTCTTCCCAACCACCAGGCCGTACACTTTGATAGCCAAAATCACCGCCAGGTACAGTGTCGTCAGGTTCCCGACCACCGCATCGGAGATCGCCATCTCTTTTTCTCTCTCTAGGCTTTCTCTCCCTAGAATTGGGTTGGATACAGCTTATGCACACTATGGAGAGTCGATAGGCTGAGCCGAGAGAAGAAATCACCAACCACAACCTCCGGCATGAGCTTAACCTCCACATTCATCGAATCTCCGCCACCGTTGATCACAGATTCATCAGTACTGGACGAAGAGATTGGATTGACTAAGAAACCTCGAAACTCTTTGTTTTCGTGTTCTTCATTCTCGTCTTCCTCCGAAACAAATCGACCTCCGGTGGCCGGCGACAGCAACGGCTCATCGTCGTCGTAAGTCCTTACTTGAAAGCTTTGTAAACGACGTAGTTTGCGTGTGGTGTTTCATTACCCAAAACGATGTAGTTTTCATCAATGTCTATTTGGGTAATTTCAACTTCTTCAATTTTTTTATTATTATTGAATAAAGAATATTGGGGGGTATTTTCGTATTTTTACTTGCCCCTCTGACAAAAAGCCCTTATTTGCAACTTTTTGAAACTAGAGGGGTGGCATTTGAACAACAAGGGTGTTATTTGCACATTTTTAAAACTACAGGGGTGTTTTTTGCACTTGACCCTAATTATTTAAAATTCTTGAGGATTTCTTAATTATTTAAGAATTATTCACAATATTAGGACATTATGAAATAATACAAAATTTAGCAATAAATATAGGAAAAGTTGGATTTGATTCTTACAAATGGAATATTCAAGATAAGTTAAGAAATGCTGCCACTTTGCCTACCATAACAAATAATCTATGATTTGCAAAGTTTCTGAAGTCTTTTATGATTGTCACTCAGTTGTTTACTTTAGTTGCTTTGTGATGGAGAACGGGGTGTGATTCATACACGAGTTGCACATGTTCCAACGTTACTTTTTGGTGCAGGGCAGTAGCGATAAGCTGCTGTCCAGCAACTGCAGCAGTGAAAAAACCACGAAGGAAAGGGATTTCCAGCAATAAACAGTCAGAAAACTAGAGAGAGAAAGCAATAGAATTGAAGTTGGAACGTAGATAGATGAGTTCTAGGGCAAAGAGACACGGAGAAACTCTAAATCAGATTTTCTGGAAAAAAAAAAAAAACCTGCATACAAAGTCTCTTAATAGACTATTTATACTAGGGTTACAGCAGCCCTAGCATCCTAGCCCTTGATTACTTCAATAACTATTAAATCCTAACCCTTCAAATTACTTAAAAACTCACAGGACAACCACATGACTATTTAAAAAGACTAGACTATAACTACATCTACCAAATAACATAAAACATAAAAATTAAATAAGACACAGAAAATAAGCAAATAACTAAGTCCCCAAAAAACTAGAACCCAAGCCTAGTTGGCTAGCGGGCCGGGTTAGTCTTGGAGAGCCTTGTAGATGCTCCTGCATCACTTTTATTGAAGAGGAAAAGAGAAATAAAATCAGGACTTTTTGTAATTTAGGTCTACATTATTATATTCCTTGTTATTTTTGGCAATGTTCTATTTTTAGGGCTATTTTAGTATTTTCATATATTAGGGTTTGCTTAATGTTTTGCCCATATAAAGGCTTCTTTGTAAACAAACAATTCAGCTTTGGAATATTGAATTGTTATTGTGAGTTTGCGAACTCTTTCTATATCTTTTCTCGCTCTTGTTCTTGTTGTTCTTAATCCCTCAAGCTCTCGAACCTATCTCCTTCACTCTATTTTCCCACCCACTTCGTCTGTCTTCCCACCTCCTCCTAGTCTCATCTCATCTTCATCCCCTTCTTTCTTTCTGGTTACTACTTGTCCTTCTTGAATTGGTATCACATAACTATTTGTCCTAAGTCACTTTGTAGTTCAAGGTTCATGATTGCAAATGCCTTAACAGCTCAATGTATGTTTATGCATGTATTGTAATTTTTAAGTTTATGTGGTTAGAACTTGCAAAATGCTAAATTTTACACTTTTTAATTTGGTAGCACCGTGTTTGCTTTTGAGAAAATCAAGTTCCCTAATTCATCTATTGGTATGCTAAGCAGTAAAGTAGCTTTAAAGTCTGTTGATTCTACATGTAAAGGAACAATTTTAGCCATTTTGAAGCTTGACTAAAAGGTAAATTTTGGAAATATGAAAATAAGTAAGCCATTCTAATATAATGTTATTTATTTTCCTAAAAGATTAGAAATTTCTTGCACTTCCAGGGAATTTTGAGCTAATTTTTATTTTAAATTTTTTTAAAAAAACTGTTCATTGTTCAAAATTTCTTGTAAATGAAAACCGAGGCCAAGTTTAGATTTTAGAACTAGCAAAAAGTCCATTACCTAGCGTTGGTCCTCACTCATCAAGAATGATGAGAGTGATGGCTAGGTGAAGTCCAAACCATCAGCATTATTGCACAAATCGGCTTCCTTTAATCTTACGTCCTCACGTTTGACAGCCTGGACTTTTACCACTGCACCAAGCAATGGCCCCAAAAATATAGATATCTGACAAAATAATTGTCAAACTAACCCGCCAACTCATTTATATCTCTTATACATTTCAGAAAATAAATAAGAATTACTGGCAAAATTATTTGTCAAGTTGTTTGACTGCTAAAACACCCTTTACAGTTTGTATATAATATATTGATGCATTTATTTAGATACCTACATAACGTTCAACTACTTTAGTTTTTCTCTAGATTATGTGCAAGTTTCATTCATATTAGGTGCCAGTTAGATAGCTTAAATGATCAAAATTAATTTAAAGAAGGTTAATTTTGTCAATCCATTCTAAAATACTTGGCTGTTTTGTCCATTCATTAATACTGTAGAATCTTTAGTGTAAAACATACAAGTACAACCACAAATCATATATAGAGTACATTGACAGTCAAGAATAAGATGAGAATAAAAACAGAAAGAAGAATCATAAATACCTCGTGGAGGGCTGTGTTAAGTTAAATCCTTTAACTAAAAATTGAGCTCTCTCGGATGTCGAAATTGCAATAGGTTTGATGCTCAATATTGTACTACAATTATTTGTTTTGAAAGGTAAGAATGTGTCCACAACAACCTGACCTGCATCAAAAAAGATGAAGCAAGAATGACCAATCTTCCATATAGACATGTTGTCACAAACTCCCGATCACTTAGTTACACTAATGTGAAAAAAAAATTTAAAAGAAAAATTAAAAAATAAAAATATCCAAGGACTTAAAAGGGAACAGACCATTGTATATGAATGCCATTTGATGCTGCACCCTAGCAAAAATCCATCCGATTCTCCAGAAAGAGTTATCATCAGAGACATCCAGAAGCCTACTCAAACTGGAGCTCAGATTACAGCAAAGCTATATGAAGCAATCAAGGCTAAGAAAGATTAGGAGATTTACCCGAATATAGAACCACAATTCCACATTCATGGATTTATAAAGCAGAAGCATACCTCCTCCCATGCAGATTCAGACATACAAAGATAAATTGTTAAAATGACACAACCAGGCCTAATGTAGCTCTCCATGTCAGTAGGACTATGAGATAACCAGTTAAGAATCTGGCAGTTCAAACATTTCAAATATTAAACTTTCTGAGGGTGTAAACACCAAGACAACTCAGTTAATATTAAAAACAAAAAAAAATGAAAGAATAACACAATATAAAGGAGCACTCAAACAATTAAAGTTTTGAAACTACCTGTGATCTCAGGACAAAAGGAAAATCTCTGGGCTCTTTCCCAAAAAGTTTGAAAACAATTCGATCTGTGCGGCTCTGTAATCGCCAAACACCACCAAAATATGAAAATACAAATAAAGACAGACAAACTTTAAAGGAACAATAGGGGGAGAAAAAGATAAGTTACAAGAAATGGATGCTAGAAGAAGAGATGACGAATAAAACTGCTTCAAAACAGTTTACCAGAATATTAGTAACATCCATACACCAATAAGCCCAAATGCACAATTTTGTTGCTAAAAGTGATGGTTAAATCATAGAATTATTTTCTAGGTGAAAGCAAAAAATATTTCAACTCTCTTCCTCCTTGTCATCACAGCAGCAAAAGGCTGCAGAGAAGATAATACTGCCTTACAATTTAAACCCACTTGCATTGCCTTGAGAATAATGAAAATATTTAGCAAATATATGAAGGCTAATTTTCAGACAATAGAATATGACCTTCTGCTAGTCTAGTACCAACTCTTGGATGATAAGAACTATGAAGAGAATCTAATTAGGTTCCTATTTTAGAGTTGTATTTTATTAAGTAATTTCTTGTTACACGAGTCTTGGGCTCCAACGAATTGTAATCCTCGTCCAACAAGGAATTGCATTTGTAACTTTATAAATAGATACCTAGGTTTTGGGTTGAGACTTATGAAATTGAGAGAGATGAAGTCTCGTGAGGGAGTTTATGGGTTGGAGAGTAGGAAAAACACCGATGACACTGGTAGTTAGGAGATAGGCTCGTAGAGTGGTACACGGTGACATGGCATGTAAATGGTGTTGGTACTATAGTGTTGTAATATCTCTACGAATCATAGTGGAATCTCTTCTCATCCATGGATGTAAACCCAGTTTTGGCTGAACCACGTTATATCTTGCGTTTGTGTGTGATTGTTTTGCTGGCTTTCACTGGATCTTTGTGTTCATGCGTTTCAAACTGCCCCAACAATGTTGATGCTGAAGATGATGAAGTCAAAGACGGGTGAGGAAAAAGAGGGGAAAAGGTCTCTGAATAGAATGGGAAAAATGTGAAAGTAAAAAAAAAAAAATTGGATGATCCACTACACATTTTTAGACAAGTCCAAGGGGGAGCATTGTGTACATTGAGCATAACCACATTGATTTGAATGTAGAATGTGAACCAGTACAACAGGATAGAGATCCAAAAGTCACATATTTCATCAAGGGGTAATGGAAGACTTATCAAGGCAAATTTAGTTAGACCAACAAAGCGAAACTACAAAAGAAGGAAATATATTGAATCTGAGAACCTTATATATTGAATTGATGAGCAAATGACACAAATGGGCTTGATTCCATGTATTAGGACATACAAATTAGTGTCCAACACAAATAGGAGTCTAATATGATAGTTGCCAACCCAAGAAAACCCTATTTCCAATGTACTGAGATTATCCATAATAAATAAATAATGTACCCGGGCATCTCCACTGGAACTAGAAGGTGACTGCGATGCTGAATCTGAATTTCCACTCGTCTGCGGCGGACTTGACTGGTGAGAGTCCTGTTGAGCCCATGAAGGGCATTCAAGAGAACCAGCCCCCATATCCACACGAACAGGTGATCTTTCTAAATCTTCTATGCAGTCGTCTGAATCAATATATACGTCATTCAAATCAAAATTATTCAACTTAGTCCTCCCTGCGGAACTGTATCTGGCTTCTGAATAAGCTGGAGGACTGTCTTTAATTGAGAATAGAATGTTAGGTTTTATAGAACATGCAGTTTGTACAATTTCAGCCCTTCTATCATCCACACATATCCCTTTCTGTGGCATCTCAGTGGCAGATACAGTGTGATGTTGTTGATTACGTATTGGAGGGCCTTGAAGGTTACTTGAGAGCAAAGCAGAAACCATTTCTGAATTTTTAACAGAGGGTCCATCATTCAGCAGGTTTTGAGATTCCCTCAGGAGCCCAGATATGTTGTTATCACCATGCAGGCTACCATGGTTTGCCAGGCTTCTTAAAAGATGAGACAGCAGGTCCTCATCATTTGTATGGTTTGATCCATTGGCTGCAATTAAACAAAACAAGAATCACTTGACACAAATAATTATATTAATCATTCAACAATTTCAAGGTAGAAAAAAGAACAAAGTCAGAGCCGAAAATGCAGTAAAGCAACTAGTTTGATATTCCCCAAGAAATTTTTATTACAGAGCGAATACAAGAAAAGGTGTAAGGATTATTGGGATTTTAGCAATATGATTGGCAAATTTCGTATGACAAAACTCACTCAATGTAATTTATTGTTTTATCATTAGTGAGTGATTTAGAAATAGTTCGTTAGGTGAAATTGAGTGCGAAATCAATGCTTGTTGAAGAAAGCTACATCAACAAGGGGGAAAAAAAAAAAATGCCCAAGATCATCTACAAAGGGCAAAACAGTCCAAGATCTCCTACAAAGGTAAAAAAATATCGTCTTCTCAAGTCAGAACTTATAAAGGTAAGAATCACATATCATCCATCAACATCTACGTTCATGCATGCATACTTAACCACCTCCCAAGACTCTCACTCTCCTCAATCGGATGGCTAAGACTTCCGCAAAAAATTTGTAAACAACACCAACCAAGCTAATTGGTCTAAAGTCCTTCGCCTCAACTGCTCCACCCTTTTTTGGAAGAAGGGTGATGAAGGAAGCGTTGAGGCTTTTCTCAAAATGACCTTCTGAATGAAATGCGCTGAGACCTCCCACCACCTGTCTTGACCACCTCCCAAGTCCCAATTCTGCTGGAAAAACGCCAAGGTGAATCCATCCGGCCCTGGAGCTTCTCGCCATCACAACTCCTCAAAGCCTCGAGCACCTCTCAAACCAATCCCTATCCTCTCCTAAAATTCCCGCAAACTCCAGCCCATCAAGCAAGGGTCGCCAACTAGCAGTCTCCGTGAAAAGTTGTTAAAAGAAAGACAAAAAAGCCATTACGAATCCTACTAACGTGATTCCCTCTTATGTGGGAATTGGCGAGGTGATGGAAGAAGTTCGTATTCCTGTCTCCTCCTTTCAACCAAAGCGCTCTGGATTTCTGTCTCCATGAGATTTCCTCCACCACCACAATCTCCCCGAACTTAGTTTTGCACTCCTCCCTCCTACGAGCCACCGAGTCACTAAGGCCCCCCGTCCCTCTTTCCTATCCAAATCAGAGATTTCAAGAAGGATTTGTTCTTGTGCCATTCCAGGTTTCCAAACACTTATTCCATTTCTTAATATCCCCCTTTAACCATAAAACTCGGGCTGCCCCTGACCTCATATCCAGACCACCATGCACGTACTCTCTCTGTGAAGTCCTCAACTCGAAGCCACATATTCTCAAACAGAACAGAGCCCTCAACCCACTACAATTGGGAATATGGTCTGAGACTGCTCTAGCCAAAGCCACCCGGGACACATCTGGGAACGTCTCCATATCTTCGGAAATCAAAAATCTATCCAAACGGGACAAAGTAGGGGGTTACCGACCGCTAGACCAAGAAAACTGTCCTCCCTCCATTGGAAGATCAAGGTGTTAAGCATCTATAAAGTTTGAGAAATCCATCATGGCCGGAGTCCATCTCCCACCTATAGATCTCCCACTAGGCCTTGTAACAACATTAAAGCCCACCCCCCCACCCCAACCCACACACCACGGGACTGAGCATTTACTTCTACCAACCATCAACTCCTCCCAAAGGCCCCTTCTCTTCGCTTCCTCAACTGGCCCATAAACTCCCGAAAACAACCACCTAGAACCATCTTCCTCTAGAGAGAACAAAAGAGATATAGAGGACCTCCCTTTCCACACATCAACCTTCGACACCTACCTCTTGTCCCAAAGGACCACAATACCCCACCACATCAATCACATCCCAATCAACAAACATACGTCCCCGCAAGCTTTAATGTGATACCCAGAAGGTTGCATCACAATGAAACAATTATGAGAGATGATAGGCAGTAATTTTACTTTTGATATAGTCTTATGCTTCGTTTGGTTGGAGGGATGGAAAAATGGATGGAAGGGAGAGGGGAAGGGATAGATGAGGCATCCCTAGGGAAGGGAAGGTGCCTCCCTCATTTTTTGTTTGGTTGGATGGAATAGATAGTAGAAAGGATGGATGTGGTGACACAATTTTTTTGTTGGTTGGAAGGAAGGGAAAGAGAGTTTTATATTGCTTTTTGTTAGCAGATATGATAGCCACAATTTATGGAATGATTTGCCATATTAGCAGAGATTTGATTATGCTATAGAATATGCCATAGAATATGCTATAGAATATGATGTGATTTGATTTAGTTTCCTTTCTTGTAATATGTGCATGTGCTCTTTATATCTATAAATACTAGAGCTGTGAATGAGTGATTTATCTCATTCAAACCTTTTACATATTTCTCTTATCTTTCTTCTATATTGTATTTCTACTTGGTATAAAAGAGAAGGTGGTCCGACTGCAATGAGAGCATTACGAGTTCGGCACCACCCATTCGGGAATAGTCTAAAGGTGACATCACCCATCCGGGAGGTGTTGGGTAGGTAGGGTGGTCCGACTTCCATGAGGGCGTTGCGAGTTTGGCACCACCCATTCAGAAATGGTCTGAGGAGACATAGTTGTTTCTTTTTTATGGTCTGAGAAGACATTGTTGATTCTTTCATCACATTGTTTAAACATATGTATGAAAGGGAATGGTCTGAGGAGATATTCTTGATTCTTCCATCTACATGTTTTAAACATGTGAAGGGAAATGATCTGAGGAGACATTGTTGGTTGTTTACGGTCTGAGAGATTATTGGTTGTTTATGGTCCGAGGAGACATTTTTGATTTCTTGATCGGCACTTCATTTGAGAGAAAATCATTACTAGTCAGATTTGCACTTTGCAACTTGTAGATTTTGAAGAAAGGTGCAAGAAAGACCGTGGTTGAAGATGCATTGTCCAAGTTTGGCGTCTTAGATATCCACGCACCAACTTGAGGGGGAGTGTTAACAGATATGATGGCCACAATTTATGGAATGACTAACCATATTAGCAAAGATTTGATTATGCTATAAAATATACCATAGAATATGCTATAGAATATGTCGTCATTTGATTTAGTTTCCTTTCTTGTAATATGAACATATGTTCTTTATATCTATAAATACTAATGAGTAATTTATCTCATTCAAACCTTTTATATATTTCTTTTATCTTTCTTCTATATTGTATTTCTACTCTTTTACTAATATACCCTAATTATATAAAATTATAAAAATTACATATTCATTCCAAATTATGCAACAAGGTTAAAAATGGAAATTAAAAACTTGTTGGTTATTATCATGTTTTCTCTCCTCTTCTCCCCAATTTTAAAAAGACAGAAAATTACAAAGGAAGGAGGGATGAACCATCCCCCCCCCAAAATCCATCCCTCCTCAATCCTTCCCTCCAACTATAGCATTAGCTTTCTTCATGATATCTCTACTACTTTTCTTCTTCCTTTTTTCTTTTATTTTTTTCATAAGCATGATATCTCTACTTCTTTAATTATTCTTTTTGCTTTCCTCCTCCTTTCCCTTCCCTTCAACCAAACCACCCCCACCCCCCCCCCCCCCCCCCCCCCCCCCCCCCCCCCCCAAATCCATCCCTCCAACTATAGCATTAGCTTTCTTCATGATATCTCTACTACTTTTCTTCTTCCTTTTTTCTTTTATTTTTTTGTTTTTTTTCATAAGCATGATATCTCTACTTCTTTAATTATTCTTTTTGTGAGTAATTTGTAGTGATTTGTTAGTTGAATGCCACTTAGAGTATTTGCAAAGATGTGGGTGGTTGAAATTTATCTATATATATACATGACCTCGGATAGATAGGTAACATATGTTATAATAGTTTGTTGTTTGATTGACCAGGATAGTTTCAATTATCAAAAAAAAAAAAATTTGAACGGGACAGTTTCGCTTTCAAGCTTCTCAGTTGCATGTTGCTTTTGCTATATGATTCAGATGTCATAAGAGTATACTTACCTCCTTTCTTAACAAAGAGAGTTGAGATGTCATCATAGTGTGGCCAAATCAATGCACACATATGAAAACCATAGATTCTGGTTAACTGGGAAGAATATTTGCAAGAACATAAAATGAGAAATATTTTACATTAATTGAAGTATGATTTTGATTTCTACTATTGTCCAAACCTAGTTGATCATTGAAATTTAGTTATCTTTGGGAGTTGGACGACGTTTCTGGCCACCTGAATCTTTTGTATAGTCAGAAGGTGGATGGTAGAGGCCCTGATTCCTTATTTTGGGTGCCTTCTTCTCAGGGGAGGTTCGTGGTCCGTTCTTTGTTTCATCATCTTTCCGGGGTTCACGGTCCTATATTCCCGTGGAAGACGTCGTGGCGATCTAAGGCTCTTCTCAAAGTGGCTTTTTTTTGTGTGGATGGAAGTTTGGGGCAAGATTCTGACCATGGACAATCTAAGAAAGCGAAGACATATTACCATCAATTGGTGTTGTTTGTGTAAAAAGGATGGAGAGTCCGCTTATTACCTTCTTTTGTATTGCCCCTGTGACGACCTCTGTGGGCGGGTTTGATGTGGGCAAGCACTGGCAGGCTACAGAGTGTCATGGTCCCACATTACCTGGGAAAGATAAGGTGATAAATGTTAGTTCTACTCCCTTCTATAACACAACACGTTTTAAAGCCGTAATAACCGTAAACCTACCAGAACTCCGGTGCTAAGCGTGCTTAACCTGTAGTAGTTTCAGGATGGATGACCCCTTAGGAAGTCTCTGGTCCAAGAGAGCCAAAAACAAACAATATTGTGTCTGGATAGAGTGAGGGTTGTTACAAATGGTATCAAAGCCGGAACCCAGCCAGAAGTGTGGCCAACGAGGCGTTGGGTCCCATGGGGGGTGATTGTGACGACCTCTGTGGGCGGGTGTGATGTGGGCGAGCACTAGCAAGCTACAAGGTGTCATGATCCCACATCCACATCGCCTGGGAAAGGTGAAGTGCTATATGTAGGTTCTACACCCTTCTATGACACAACGCATTT